TTTTTTTTTTTTTTTTTTTTTTTTTTGAGCAGGTCTCACTAGGTTGCCCCTGCACTTACAGTCTCCTGAATAGCTGGCATTATTAGGCTAGCGCTATGTAACCTGGGCCTGTTTCTAAGTCCTTAAACTGCGATGGTGCACCCCTGTAACACAGTCCAGAGGCTGAGGCAGGAACACTGCTGAATTTCTGCATACTGGGCCACACAGTGAGTTCAAGGCCAGCCTGAACTACATAGTGAGACCCTGTCTCCAATAAATAAATAAACAAAACCAGGAGCTGTTAGGAGTAACTTCACTCTGTCCTGCTGCCTACGGAGGCCGGACTGGGACAGGACCTCATCCCCTGGGATGGGATGGCCTCCAGAGAGCATTCAGCCTGCCCTCAGCAAGACAAAACACAAGCCAGGGAGCCGGTAAGAGCAGGGTTTCTTTTTATTCCTTGTTGGTTTAAAATGGCTAATCAGAATAAAAAATAAACGGGCCTCTGTCTTCCCTGTGTGGGAGTTGGAACCCAGTGTCCTCTCTACCCAGCACCATACCGAGTGGACAGCAGGAGGGGTCCAGGCCTGCCGTCCTTCTGTCTATTCCGTTTTTGGCATGTGATTAAAAATATTGCTTTTTGGATTCTTTTCTCCTGTCCTTTGATTTTTAAAATTACGTTAACCATTAGGCTGGGGGGAGCTCTGAGGGCTGGTGAAGCCCCCCAGGGGTGGCCCAGCACTGCAACCCGGCCACCGCCACTGCACCCCAAACCCCTCCACCTGCTCCGGTGGGCCGGCTCAGCGGGCAGTGCTGGACCCGAGGTCAGAAACTGGCGAGGGGCACGGGAGAAAGGAAGACGGCGTCTCTTCTGCTGGTCTGAGGAGCGAAGACTAAACCTCCCTCCCTCGTCTTCCCATCCCAGCATAGATATATAATTTCTTTGATATTTATAATATATAATATATATATATATGTACACACACCTGGTAACGCAGAAGAGGAAAAAAATAGAATCCGTAACAATAATAAAAAAAATTATTTCTGGTTTAAAAATGATCTGGTTCCCTCCAGAGCAAGCATTGCACAGTGTCCAGAGTCCGTCCGCGGGCGGGGAGGCGGCGGGGCTCCTCACACGGAGATCTCGTAGGTGGTGCCGCCCACCCCCGACACCTTCTTCACGCCGCCCCGCGTTGGGCTGCTGAGCGGCGGCTGGGC